CAATGGAGAAGGGTTCCTTTCTCCCCACACCCCCGCCAGCATTTGTTATTGGTTGATTTCTTGATAGCAGCCATTCTTTCTGGGGTGATTTGGAATCTCAGTGTTGTTTTCATCTGCATCTCTCAAATGACCCACTGGCATAATTCTTTAATGTTAACATTTCAGTCTTCGAAGTAGGCTAGAATGTAGTATTGTTACATTGAGGTATTATGCTTAGGTGTAAATTTTACAACTAAAAAAAATAGTCATTTTCTTTAGGGAGCATGAGTATTTTTCCTTAATTTGGCTGGCACATGTGGGTGAAGTAGGAAGGAGTGGTATGAGTTTCTCTTATTGCAGGAGGAATTACATGTTCTTATTATGTTGGTTTCGGGACTAGGACTTAAACTCTGATAAGTTGTCCTGGAGAAGCTCAGGCTATGGTGTGTTACTTCTATTACAAAACATCTTCCTTGAACCTAGAGGGATTTTGCTTTGATAAGTGATAAAAAGAAGCAGCTTTTTTGTTGTTACAGTGCTTGGAATATGGATATGATAGCGAGATCTGAAGCAGATTTCTTTGGTCATTAGATGAAAATGGGAGTTGAAAATAACAGTAGCAATGTGGAACTGTCTGTGTCCCTGACACTGGGTTACCAACCTGGACTTGAGCTTGAAACAAAAATAAACTTATGTAGGTTCTGAGTAAGATGTTGGAATAGATGTATTCTTGACGTGACTCTGGAAGTTAGAAGAGCTAAGAGTTCAAAAGAAGAAACTATATTCTGAGGACAGAAAAAGGGAGAGTTCCAGGTATCAAGAAAGAGGTGACAGAAAAGCTAAAAAGCATACAGAAAAAGGAAAGACAACACAGGGAAAAGTACAAAACAAAGTACTACTTCAACCCTGGCTCCTGGGGAATGAGGGAACCAACCCCACTCTGGAAGCACAGGGTAACCCTGGAGAGGATCAACAGCCCCAGTGATAAATACTGGAGCAGCAGTCCTAACTGCAGAAGAAACCCAGGGCCATTGCAAGCTGTAAATCCAGTGGTTTACACGTGTAGTTTTTTGAGGGGCCTGGATCTGAATGTTCAGAAGATTGCTTGGTTCCCATCACTTCTCCCCTCCAGTACAGAACTCGGTGATCTATTGCTTTCCCCACTCTCCATTGTGTTTGGAAATATGCCTCTGATTGGACATTTGGCATGCCCTCAGGTTCATGGGTAGGGGAGCCTCCAGAGTGAGTGGACACTAGACCAGCCCACATGCCACAAGGCTGATTGGGGATAGTAGTGGCTCTGTGCTCACAAAGGGAAACAAACAACAAAAAGCCCCTGAAGCGGATACAGTCTCAGCAGATAATATACCACTGACACCTTGTAGAAAGACTGGGCAGTGCTAAGTATTCACATAGAACCAGCCTGTTAAGTAGGAGTGGAGAGAAAAATACAACAGACCCCCAGTCTGATTCATCACCCCTCCCCCATACCTGGTGGATACCAATATCACAGGTCCTAGATAAATCTTTACCCATCCAAATACCTCAGCAGGAATATTTTAGACTCATTTTTTTCTTGTCTATTCTTTTTGTTTGTTTGTTTGATGCTTCCTTCCTCTACTTTTGTTTATTTTTGTGTTTTAAGTGGATTTAAAAAATCTCATTCTTTTCTCTTCTTTTTTCTCATATTTTCTTTTTATAATCTTAGTTCTTCCATTTTCCTTTCCCTTGCCCTTTCCAATTTTATTATTAATTTATTATTACTTTTTAATTTTTATTTTTACTGGATTATATTTTCAGTACACAATGATTATATTCCTCGTGGGGAGTTCGTACATGTACACAGCACATCTTAACTCTTTTTTCATTTCTTTGCTTTCCTCTCTCCTCCCTTTCCCTCCCTCCTCTTTGTTCCCTTCCCTTTTGCAAAAGAACTATCCCATTACTTTTCTATTATCTATCTTTTTTTTGCTCTTTATTTGTAATTTGATTTTCTCATGTAGGTGAAACCATGAGATATTTAAGCTCGTATGTCTGATTTATTTCACTTGACATTATGGTCTTAAAGTGCATCCATTTCCCTACAAATGACTAAAGTTTTAGCCTTTAATTCACTCTATATTATTATTGCCCTTTTCTGTCATCAGTGATGCTATGGTTCTTGTTTTTTATTGCATTTCAATATCTGATTTGTCTTTGTGTCATTGTTACACAGTTTGTTTTCTCCTCAAGATCTAGTCCTCCAAAGAAGTCTGGTCACTAAGAAGACCCTCACATAAAAATAGAAGAGATATTCATTCCAACAGATGCATAAATATCAACAGACTCACATGATAAATATGAAAAAGCAAGGCAACACAAGTCTTCCAAAGGTCCATAATTCATTAGTAAGTGAATGCAAAGACATCAAAATGGATAACATGCTGGGCAAAGAATTCAAAATTGATTTTTAGGATGATTAATGATTTCAAACATGATACAAATAACCAGCTAAATGAATTAAAGAAGACAATGCAGGATATAATGGGGCACTTCAACAAAGAGAAGGAGATTCTGAAAAAGAACCAAACAGAACTGAAAATTAAAAGCTCAATAAATCAAATAAAAAACCTCAGTGATAGGAAAGAAACTTCCTAATCTTGGAAAAGATACTGATATCCAAGTATAGAAGGCATTTAGAACCCCACATAGGCTTGAGCAGCAGAGCCCCTCCTCACTTC